CTTGGAGGGGGCATTTCTAAGGATCCATTACCTCAAGTAAGTGATTTTAACCTCTAATCTATCTTTTTGATTGGAATTTATAAGGATTTATGGTGAAACCCTAGGATTTTCTAGGCTGTGTTGGAATTGAGGTTTTTGACCGATTGTTTTGGGTTTAATTGATTGCATTGGGTTAGTTTAAGTATTTAATCGGTGTAGTTTCCTTGGATTTAAAGAATCTTGAAATTTTAGAGCTAGGGTTTATGGAAATGGGAGGTTTGTGATTGAGGATGATAATGTAGAGGTTGATTTTGAGTTTTGTGAATTGGGTTATGTTAAGGAGGGTTAAATTGGATGTTTAATCGGTTTAGAATTGTTGTTGGAACCTTAATTGCTCAAATGGGATGTTTGGGTGTAGAATTCCATAGTGGGTCCTTGAGGTTTGAACTCTAATTGATGCTTGGAAGGAGACTTGATGTTTTAATAGACTTTGAGGACTTTGGAGTGTTGTTTTGATAGTTATACCCTTTGAGTTGGGTAGAGTTTTGATGGGAGATAGGAATTTTGTGTCCCCAAGTGTTGTTTTTGGCCACATTATTAGTCTGAAAGCTAATATATGATGGTTGTGTGTTTGTGTGCTTGTGTAGACTGGTTGTGAGTCTTGGTGGTGCACGGGGCCACATTGTCGGTTTGTTATTCCTTGCTCAGGCGAGAGGTAACCACTTTCCAATCCTTAGTACTTGCTTTTGTGGTATTGTGAGTAGATTTATGTTTTGTGCTCTAAGTAGTGATTATGTTCAAACTGTATGTTGTGTATAAAACAGAAAACCGTCTTGTGGGGTTTTGACTAATGATGAATGAATTTTGGAATTGTGAAAGATATGCCACTGAATGAGGTTAATTGTGAAATGATTATTACTCTTTGATTATGATTTGAGCATGATGCATTGATTGGGAATTTGGTGAGAGTTTGTCTGTTACTACCACGTGGTAAGGCCTCCATTAATGCATGATGGTTGGCTTAGTACGTCCCCCATAGTGAGGGATAGGCTTTCTGGCTCCCTACGTCCCCTAGAGTGAGGGATAAGCCTTTTATGGCTCCTTACGTCCCCCATAGTGAGGGATAGGCCGGCTTCGGCTCCTAAAAATCCCCCAAAGTGAGGGATTTGGTTGATGGGATTGCATCATTGCACTTGCATGAATTGTTGTGGCTATCATTATATATTATTTGCGAACTGCCCCACTTGACACCTCACGAGCACCTATTTAATAGTACCTAGTATTGGAAAGGTTGGTTACTGGGACTTTGTCTCATCCCGTGGTTTACAATGTTTTCAGGTGAAGGTTCCGGGCGTGCGCCTTCGGGAAGAGACGCAGAGGCTTGAGCTTGGTTAGCTTTAGGCCTCTAGCATTTGTATATGTATGACTAGTATATATTGCCACATTTAGGACTGCTTTTTGATATATTTGATTACCCGGCCTTGTTGTAAATTGGAGAGAATGTATCTCCTTATTTTGGTTGGCCGGAGGCCATTGCTAGTGTTTGATGAACTCTGGATTATATGGTTGAAAACTATTTAGATGGGCTGATTTTGATGTATGTGTTACCCGGGCCGAAGGTTCGGAGGCCCAGTATATATGAATGAATGATTTCAGTTGCAGGCAACGGTCTTTGAGTTGGAACCGCGTTTACATGTTAATTCAAAATTATGCAAATTTCTTCCTACTATGGTAGTTCTTTTAATAGATTTCCTTTTCTACCGTAGTAGTGATTTTATGATGAGTAATGTTGTTTTTAAGGTTGAGGGTCTTACAGTAAACAATTTAAGAATTTAATAATAAGTTAAGATGTATCTAGCACTTCGAAGTGTTTTTTTTATTCAATACTGAAACTCAATACAGGTGCCAAAGTCAAAGACCCTAATCCCCTTTTACAACCTCCCCTTCACTCGTGGAAGGTAGTTGGTCTAGGATACAAAAAGTACTTTCCATGGAATGAGAGAACCTCAAAGTGTTTTTTTAGGTACATCTAGCACTTTAAAGTATTTTATGGTGTGGATGGATCAAAAAATATTTTAGGGTGCTGGATATACGTAAAAAAAATATTTTAATGTACTAGATGCACAAAAAAATACTTTAAAAAGCTAGACGCACTTAAAAAAAATATTTCAAGGTATTGGATGCATCATAAAAAATTTTCGGCTACAGGTACTGGATGCACTCAGGACAATACTCCAAGGTGTAGATGCACTCATGCACATTAACTGTTTAATAATTTAATGTTTTTAATTTTAAAAATTCATTTCGTAGTGTAATATTATATAAAATAAAACTAAATTATTAGATATTTATTAGTTTAGCAAATACTTCTTTTCATCCCTATATTATTTTTTTTCATGGGAATATATCTGGGATATTATTTTTTTTTTCATGGGAATATGTCTGGGATGAAAGTCATTATATTTTTATCAATATATAAAATTAATTTATTATTTTCTTTTAACCAAATCCGATCTTGTATAAGTTTAGCTTTTATGAGTGGCATAAAATTCTAAGTTTTTAACCAATTCCAAGAATGAAACTGTGGGTAATAAAAAAAAATCGCAAACTAAAGGTGATATAATGATTTTGATATTACATTTTCTGCGGGAGAGCTAAGATGTTAATTTTTTTTGTTATTTTTCCATTTTTTAAATTTTTATTTTGAGATTGTAAATATGTGAATACTTCACATGCATAGGTGCCTAGGTAGATAGTGGCTATGTGTTGGCATGTTGCTTGATCAAAGGTAAGTAGAGGAATGAAGTTACCTTTGATGTTTATTGTATACTTACAAACTTATTTTCAAAAAATTGTAAAATAAAATGAGATTTAACAGATATTTTTGTCTTTTTATATTAACAACATTATACTAGTAATTGTTTTAAAAAATATTTAGACTTCTATAAACTTAAAAAGCAAATAAGTAATTGTTTATAAACTTCAAAAAAGAAATTTCAAAGAAGTTAAGACTTAAGTATTGTTTGGGATCATAATTGGACACTACAAAAGTACTTATTGATATAATTTTAAATAATTTTTTTTTCATACACTTGCTTTATATTCTATAAAGGCACAGATTATTATCTAAAAACTATTTTTGAGAAATAGTACTACCATTCTAAATAAGCACTAACTAAATTCAATCCAACCACTCTATGCCTCTTCCAGTTTTGCTAGATTAGTTCATTTTAATATATGCACAAAATAAATGAGGTTTTTCTTTCTTTTTGTTAAAATCATTCTTTCAAATCTGTTCTTAAAAAAAATGCAAAAGAAACCTTTTCCACATACCGTTTCTCAAAATAAAATAAAATTTCCAGAATAATTTTTTTTTACTGGAAGAATAAATCTTTTTCTTAATCTTTAAGAATCCAAATTTCAAAATTGCTTTCATCCAGGTAATTTCTAAAGACTAAAATGCAAAATTTGCCATTTTGTTTGTATAGACAAGATTTAAAAAGTTTGGTTCAAATTTCGCTTTCCTCCTTTGAGAAATAATGACAAAATTGTTTCTAATTTAAAATACATCCATGAATTTTGAAAATTTTTACTTGCAACATTCATTATCTCGCTTTTAAAAAATAATAAAAAGCACCAACCAAATTTGTCGTAATACCTGCAACTATAGGATACATTTGTCTTTGTAAATTAATCTTTTTTTACTTTTATTTATTTTTTCCTTTTAATTTTACTTTTACATGCTTTTAATTAGAATTAGATAGATTAGACTAGACTTAAAAGAGAATGATTGGAATAGATTTCAGCTCATTATTATTTTACCTAATTGATTTAAGATAACTTCATAATCCTTGCCATTTTTATGAAAGATTTTCAAAGATTAATCTTTTGAAATTTGGCAGTGCCTTTATTTTATTTGGTTTTTGTTTCTAACATTAATATCCTTTTTCATGTCATTCTCGTTTCCGTGGCATTTCAAATGTAACAGTTTTGCTGATTTTTATCTAGAAAAATTTGCTGATTTTTTTAATGCAGAAACAAAGATTGGTGATAAAGAAAAGAAAAAAATATAAAAAAATATATCTCTTAAATTTTAAAATTCTAAACTAGTTTTGTGCATTATACTTTAATAACAATTAACTACGTTTGAAAAACAAATATCAACATATTTTTGTAAAAATTTAAAAGATATTTTTTGACATTTTTTTCTTAAAAAAATATTATTTAAAGCAACAAATAAAATATCAATAATGCATACAATACTGAATTGGTTAATAAACCAATTAAGGGAGTAGATCAACAAATTACATATAATTCAATGAAATAGAGATACCAAAATGTAAATATTATAGATTGTTATTTTTTAACTCAAAACAATGTTATTTTAGACTCTAATTAAAAAATATAAAATATAATCTAATCAACTTATTTGAAATTCTTAATCGAACCAGTTTAAAAAATTGTTCATCAGACCTGGGCGAGGTTTTAATAGGATGAAGCAATGAAAGTAGTGTTTGGATTAACTGTTCAAAAGTAACTTTACTGCATTTAAAATAAAGCAATCAAAATATACTACTTCCGGTCATAATTATAAGAGCTAGTTGACTAATTTGAGGAGATTAAGAAAAGACGTTGGATTAGTTATTTGTAATAAATATGTGTTGTCTTTCCTAAAATATCCTTACTAATCAAGTGTATTGGCTAAAATTACTATTATTAGAAGGATTACTTTAGGAAAAAATATAAATATGAGAGATAAAGTGAATTTGAATCTTATATTTAAAATTAAAATAAAAATTAAATAAGATCTTATATTAAGTAATTAGTAGGTTTTTTTGGATGGAATTTATGTGGGCTCCACACGCTTACACGTGGTTGAATCTCCACCGTTCATTTCTTCCAGTTAATGAATCCTTCTCGTTCAAATGCCCAAGAAAAATAAATTCCCAGTTCATCCGATCTATTTCTATTGTCTTCACTCAAAAGGCTCACTGTTTCCGTTTTCGGTTTCGGTTTCGGTTTCCTTTTCGTTTTCATTCCTTCCTTCTTCAGTTCAACTCACGCCCGTAAGCCTCCATGTCCTCTTCGTCCGTTACTCCTCGCCATTCTCTCCAGAACTCGTTCCATTACAACGCTATGCTCTTTCTCTCTTCTTCTTCTTCTTCTCTCTCTTCTTCTTCTTCTTCTTCCTCGCAGTTCTGCTCAGTTCACTTACTTTCTTCTTCCGTTACTCCAACGAAGCATAATTGGGTCAATCTCCCTATCATATTGCATTAACATGTCTGAACCGTTTCTTAACAGATAATTCCTAATTCATAGGCTATTCGGTTTTTCCGCGTGACCCAGATCCGAAAACTTCTTATTCTCTCTCTTTCTCTTCCTAATTCTGGAATATTTTCTCCGTAGGATCTCTACTTCCTTATCCTTTCTTTTGCTTTACAGCTCACATTCCAAATCCAGAAAGGTAAAAAGTGCAATTCTTGTCTTTCTGGTTGAGATAGTTGTTTCGCTTAGTTGGGGCGCCTGCTTCGTTGGTGGCATTGACACGTTTGTTGCAGAAAAACATTGGAGGGCAACCATTTTAGAGCGTTCGTAATTATGAAGGCGAGATTTCCATGATCCACATTTACCAATTGTGGTTTGGTTTCGCAACTGCTCACAACTGACACGGCTGTAGTAGTGTTCACCTTTAAACCATCTTCTTCCAAAGTGGGTGCTCGTGATTTGGATTCTCGCTGACGTAAGGAATTTTGATTTGGGGCACACTTTTTCCTTGATTTTATTCTCCATTGGAGTCAACCGTCAGAATTCCTACGAATTTCTCAGGATATGCGTATTCGTGATTTGGGGATCTGGCTCTCGTTCCACTGAAGCAACAGAGAAGCATTGGGTCTAGTTCATTTTATTGGTCATAACTCGGAGATATAGCATGCTGAGGCGGACCAAGGCATCAATTCTAGCATAGAACGTTAATATTTGTTTGTGTGAAAGTGACAATATTGATTGATTGGAGTGTATTTGAGAAATTTTGTGGCCTCTAAACTTGTGTTATGGGTTGTATGTGCTCGAAACCGAAATCTTCAAATGATTACGTTGCTGAGAACCTGGCCAGAGACAAGGATACGAAGGCAAATAGAATCTCAAAACATTTGACTTTGGGAGAGAAGGTCGCAATAGAGGCTGATGGTAGTGGTAATGATGCGACTACACGGTTGATATCTAATCCGTCTCGGGATGGAACTTCAGGGTCCGCTTCCGTGTCATCAGATGAGGGGGAGAAGAGCGGAGAACCAGAAACTACCGCAAAGCCGGCAAAACAGCTGGTTCATATGGCCTCAAACATGGGAATTGGAAATGGAGGACAAGGACAACCTAAGATGGCTAGGATAGTTACCGTACCTAAAGGGGAAAGAGGAGCTCAAGTTCTTGCTGGCTGGCCTTCTTGGCTTACTGCAGTTGCAGGGGAAGCCATTAATGGTTGGATACCTCGCAGAGCAGACTCATATGAGAAGTTGGAGAAGGTATGTTGGGTCACTTGGTACATTTATTGTTAATATGATTATTTATTTATTGATTTCTTTGATAGATAAATAGATTAGCAATCCTTTAAGCCTATGATTTGTATTTGAAATCTTATTATTGGCTCTCAGATGTGGAAGCATCCTCTGCCTGATGATCATAGTGTTCAAAGACATGCCTCTTGATTGAAGAGATTCAGCGAACCATGTTTTAGCTATAATGTAACTTATGGCGGTCACCATTTAAAATTTAGAAGAATGTTGCAAAGTACTTTTTTCTTTTCAAATAATTTGTTAAGTTGTTGTATGCTCGGAAGCGTTTATTGCTGGGGAGAAACTTGTTTTCTTCCGTACTTGAAGCATGAAATATTATTTTTGTTTCAGTTGATAAGGTTTTAACCCTCTCGAGGTTCTTAAGAATAACCATTTGGCTCGAGTGCAGCTTTGATGTCTATTTATAGTTCTTCCTTGGCCGATTCTTTTGTCTTTTATTCAAGGAGAATTTATCCTATGTTTTTCTTAAAATAGGAAAATAAAGTTTCCCGTCATTCTGCAGATTGGGCAAGGAACTTACAGCAGTGTTTACCGAGCTCGTGATCTAGAAACAAACAAAATTGTTGCGTTGAAGAAGGTTCGATTTGCTAATATGGATCCAGAAAGTGTTCGTTTTATGGCAAGAGAAATCATTGTACTGCGAAGGCTTGATCATCCAAATGTCATGAAACTTGACGGCATCATTACTTCACGGGTCTCCGGTAGCTTGTATCTTGTTTTCGAATATATGGAGCATGATCTTGCGGGGCTTGCAGCAACACCTGGCATCAAGTTCACTGAAGGGCAGGTAGTTGATTTTTCCTTCTGATTGTGTCCATCCATTGTTCAGACAAAAACCTGTTTTTGTTTTTTGTTGCTCTAAATCTAACACCAACCTTTTGGTCAAATCAATTTTATTAGCGTCTTTTTAGATATATTTAATTTAATTTAATGTGAGTTTTTTAATATAAATTTGCTTAATGCTTAATTATGGTCATTACGAGTCTTGTAAGATTTTGGAAGTCACTGCATGATTACAGCAGAATTGTCTGATACAAGCCAAAAACTATCAAGCTAGAAATAGAATCTTGAGCTAAACTCACGTTTCTATAAATATTTTCTCTTAAACTAAATATTATAGGCCAAACATATTAGTATTGTAGAAATTTAAGTTTCTACAACAGAATTTTCCTCATTCATGTCTTTTATTTCTTCAGTTTGCACAAGGGGCTCATATTTTCTGTGATACTGCAGATCAAATGTTATATGCAACAGTTGCTTCGTGGTATTGAGCATTGCCACAGTCATGGTGTTCTACATCGAGACATCAAGGGCTCAAATCTTCTGATTGACAAGAATGGCAATCTAAAGATTGGTGATTTTGGGCTAGCAACTTTCTTTGAGCCTTCTAAGGCTCAGGTTTTGACAAGTCGTGTGGTAACCTTGTGGTACCGACCACCTGAACTCCTACTGGGAGCCACAAATTATGGAGTTGCAGTGGACTTGTGGAGTGCTGGTTGCATTCTTGCGGAGTTGTTTGCTGGAAAGCCTATAATGCCTGGACGAACAGAGGTAGTGCCTTCTTACATTCTATATTTTATTGGACATACTGAAACCTAACCATCCATTTTTCTGAGCAGAATCAAGTCTGAAGTAGACAAATTTCTCTTCTTTCTTCTTAGCATCCTTACATGAGTGTTGGAAGATGAATCATCCATGGAAGTAGAATGGAATTATTCTTAAGAAAATTGTCACGTTTCTAGCCTAAAATCCATGAGCATATTATTGCATCTGCTTGTTTAATCTGCAACCATCATAACGATTGAAAATGCTCTTACACGTTTAGCTGCTCCTCTATTGGAAACTGTATAAGCCCAAAAGTTTGCTAGTTAATCTTTTGCCAAATACTTAATTTCAGATTGTCTCCATTAATTGAAATATCCTGTAATAATTAAAGGCCATTGTTATGCAGACTTCAACTCTGTCATTGATATTAATCAATATCAATATATCTATCAAAGTTGTGAAAAGCCATACTGTTTACAAGCTGTGAATAGTGCAACATATCTCAAACTCTGTGCAAATACATGGGGGTCCACTCTAGTCTTTGAACATGTGGAACTTTTTAGGACTTAACTGGGCAACAAGATAAGGTCTTGCTATCTATTTTCTAGGTGGAGCAACTTCACAAAATCTTTAAACTCTGTGGATCACCATCTGAAGAATACTGGAAGAAGTCAAAGCTACCACATGCAACAATTTTCAAACCTCAACATCCCTACAAACGTGTTGTTGCTGAGACATTTAAGGATTTTCCTCCATCAGCATTAAGCCTTTTGGAAGTCCTCCTTGCTATTGAACCTGACGATCGAGGAACTGCTTCTTTAGCACTTCACACGAGCGAGGTAGCTATAAGTTCTACTTAAGTTGAAGCACAAGTTCGAATGGAGTGGGATTAGTCTGTCCTATACTCCTATTCTACCATTATATTTTTCACGGTGCAATCTCATGGCATTGTTAGTATATGCCTTTTGAACTTTATTTTTCCTTTCTAACTAACAGTTCTCTTTGTGTAGTTCTTTACCACAAAGCCTCTTCCATGTGATCCTTCTACTTTGCCAAGATATCCACCAAGCAAGGAGTTTGATGTCAAGTTTCGACAAGAAGAAGCCAGAAGGTATTCCATTGGAAATTCTAATAATTTGGTCACATCTGATATTAGCATAGTCAATAATTGTAAAAACAGAAAATGCTGCTGCTACATTTTTTGATATTTATTTTTAATGAAAAAAATTATCTGGTGAGCTAGCACTCTTTTGATACCATTGTTCTATAATATTATATGAACTTGCTTCTGAATAATGATAAAGTGGCTTTTTTACTTGCCCTTCTCTTTGAGATATCAACTTTCAAATCCTCTAATTAATCTTTGTAATTGAGATCAAAGTTTTTTCTCCTTCTTTTAGCTTAATGGTATGGGCATGATTTGCAATTGAAAGACGCTCAACTTTCTATACCTTTTCTTTCTCCATGCATGTTACTTTTGTTACCCATTTGTTCGTTTGAATACAGACGAAGAGCTGCAAATAATAAAGGAAATGCAGAGGAATTCTCTAGCAAGGTTTCCAAAGATTCTAAAGCTGTTCCAGCACCTGATGCTAAGGCTGAGTTACGGTCATCAATTGAGGTACCTCACTTCATAGATTAAAAAGTTTGTGGATCTCCTGTTCATAAGAACTTTATGAGAATTGTCTAATACGCATTGTTCCATGTCTTGTCCTCCCCTTTCCTTCAGAAAAGACAAGGACAAGCTAACCCTAAATGTATTAGCGAGAAGTTCAATCCTGATGAGGATGGTGGTTCTGGCTTCCCTATTGAACCTTCAAAGACACGAGCACTCAATGCCTTCTCTCATTCTGGTCAGTCAATGCATCCAAGTGTGTATGGATCTTCACGTAATATGAATTTAAACAAGGAAGAGTCTATTGCTGGCCCTGGCCGTGTGTATAATTCAGGAAATCCTGCAGAATTAAGAAAACAAAGATCCTACATGAACAGGAATGCTGCTCAATTGTCGAGGTTTTCTAATTCAGTTGCCAATGGAGGTGGTTTAAAGCTTGATATGAGTGGAGATGCTAGTTCACAGTGGCCTGATGATTGCTTTGGCACACGATATGACCATCTTGTTGATGACGAATCCAACCAATTGCTCAAGTCTATGCACAAGAAGGAAATGCATCCTTGCGCAAAGGAGTCTTCCAAGGTAGAGAAAATACATGTATTTGTGCAATTGATCCTTTTTTTTTTTAATCCCCATTTAAAATTTTGTCTCTATTAATTACTGAACCACCAGGTAAAAAAAGAGGAATGAAAGATGATTATGCTGTGACTGACTGATGGTTTATAATCAATATGATTATGGAGCTACCTACTAATACCTTGATTTTTTAACCCAGAAAAACAGATGTAATACCTTGATCTTCTTTTTGTGATGCAGGCCTTTGCCCCAAAAAATGGTCAAATGTACTATTCAGGGCCTCTAGTCCCTGGAGGTGAAAATCTCGATGAAATGCTTAAGGAGCATGAAAGGCAAATCCTACAAGCTGTCCGCAAGGCACGGTCAGATAAGGTCAAGATCAGTAAATGCTGCAATGACACTGGCCAAACTGAATCCCTACTTCACCATGTGGGAAATCGCTAGCGAGACTTTCAATAGGATGGCTATGATGCTTCAACTTGGGATGTGGATGCCTGCATCTTTCTTCTGGAATTTTGACAAACGTTGATGCTGAGAAATAATTTCAGGAATCATGGAGCCTTATCAAGGGTTCTCGGAACATCAATGATTATGGTTTCTGTCTCAGTTCTAACCACCAAACCGTAGTTATTTTGAAGGTGGATGGCGTGGAGAGCAATTGAAATCGATGGCAAATGGGAGTCCGACTGTACAAGATTTGATAGTTTTTTAAATTTACTCACCAGAAAATTGTTTTGTTTCTAGATGGTGAGGTCATTTTCTGCTGACAATGATCGGTTACTCAATATTTAACTTGTACAGGTGAAGTTGATTTTGCTGAACCAGATTACACTTATTCGAAATGCAAAGTGCATTAAGCTTATCATCTTTAATCGAAATGCAATGGCTCTCTCAGCAACCTGTCAGAGAAAAAGCTGGCAATATTGTGAATTTGTAATGCATTTCATAACTTTATTTTTCTCTAGGCTAAAGGTCAAAATTGTATAGCGATTTTTTCGTGAGAATGATTTACTTGTATTCAATGTCCAGTATGCAGATCATTTTCTGTAAAATTATAAAGGAATTCTATTATTTATTTATTCTTTCAAAATATGATAAACCTTGTTTTTTCTCAAAAAGAGTAATACTTAATGAAATTGCGATGCTCTATTATGCATTGCACGAAACATCCTAGTTTGTTACTTGATCGTTGATTAAATGTTTTCCTTGTATTAAGAAAAGGCTGTAATAATGTGGAGAGGTAAAGGGGGGCAAAACAAAAGACGTGCAGTGAAGATACTTCTTTTCTTGCGGGAATCAATGGAAAATGACAAAAAAAAAAAATCCTCAAAAGAAACAAAAAATCTCGACTGAATCCATGTTAAGTCATTCTCTTCAAAATTAGAGAGGAAAAAAAAGGTGAAAATTCATATGCTCCCAACTATTTTCCTTGTTATCTAGAACTTGATTATTTTCAATAATAACCACAAGGACATTACTCTAACATTATCAATAAAAAACAATGAATAAAGAAACCTACCTCACTCAGGATTTGGACTCATTTAGCACAAACCCCATGTAGTAGTAGTAGTAATAATAATAATAATAATATATATTATTTATTATTATTATTATTATATTGTTAAATTAGCAAGAACTCATGAAGCATATGAATTGCTCTCCCACTCCATTTTTGGTCTTAAGTAATACGATGCTGAATTAAGGAAATGTATATATGGTCACTGTCACATAAAAAGGAGGGAACAAGTAAGACGAAGGTTTAGATGAAAAGGTGGTTGTTTTATAGGCTTTGCCAGGACTCCAGTTATTGTGCCCTTGAGAAAAGAGATCTCACCAAACTTAGCAGATCCACCAACAAGCACTGTAATGTTTTTGATTCATTTAGAATTCTTTCAGCTCTTTTGTCCTCATCGAATATTCCCTTCTTCTTCAAGCATCAAACACTAATCACTCTCTCCATACCTTCATTCATTCACCTCTCTTCCTCTTGAAATTCTCACCTTCTTCTTCTACTTCTCCCTCCAAACATCACACCAAGTAAAACCACAATTGTTGATTCTTCTGCAATTTCCGACGTAACTATGAGGCCCAAAGCTAATCAAACCCTGAACTTGAAGCTCCTCATTCTGGGGCTTCTGGTTTCTGTTTTGCTCATCTTTTTGCTGAGATCAAACTTCTCTTCTTCAAACCAAGACCTGTCTAATCCAAGTTCTTCACATACAGCAGTAGCCATGGATTCTTCAAATGGTGAGAAAGAGAAGAGTACTGAGACAAGAGATTGTCCACTTGTTTGCAACAAGATCCCAGCTTCTCTAGCTCAAGCTCTGATCCATTACTCAACCACAACCATAACCCCACAACACACGCTGAAAGAGATATCAGTGACAGCAAGAGTTTTGGAGAAGAGATCTCCATGCAATTTCTTAGTCATTGGCTTAGGCCATGACAGCCTCATGTGGAGTTCTCTCAACTATGGTGGCAGAGGTCGAGTCCTACTTGATTTAATAACCTCCCCCTCCTAAAAATATGGAGGACTTTTGAAGGATTTGGTAGAAGCCAGGGACTGGGGGAGATCTAATGATTTGTTAGGATTTAGAAATATTTTCTAATAGAGATATGTATATAAGGAGATCTGTTAGGATTTTGAAATTATTTTGATCCTCCTAATCATGTAGTCTATGTATAGCAAGTTTTATCTATCAAATATGATTTATCATTGTATCTAACTCTTCTTATAGGGTGCTTGGTTACCTTCAAAAACATTTTTTTTTTAAAAAAAGTTTTTTTATATAAGTTGAGACAAAACTTCTCTCACATACTTATTTTGAACTCTATAGAATAATTTCTAAAAAGCTAATCCAAACACCCCTTAATTAGTCACATGAAATGTATCATTGGTTTAGACCTGTACTAAGAAAAACATACATCCATTGCTTAAAACTTCAAGATATTATGTGCATATGTGCTTTTTGCCATATATATTAGCACAATTATACTTAATTTGAGATTTTCCCTCTCATTTACTTGCATTTGATATCTCATGTGACAAAAAATTTGAATTTGCCATTGTAGGTTCCCCATGTTAGAGTCCTACCTTGTGAGCTATGAGAGCAATGTGAATGAAGCAGATAAGCTAATGGAGGTTGGAAGAGGAAGAGAGTGTAGAGAAGTTTGGGGTCCAAGAGAGTCCAAATGCCAACTTGCACTGCCAGGGTTTCCAAGTGAAGTTTATGAGACACAGTGGGATTTGATAATGGTGGATGCACCTACAGGGTACCATGATGATGCCCAGGACAGCTGGCCTCGTGGCTAGGACAAGGGACAATGGAGAGACTCTTGTGTTTGTGCATGATGTGAATGGGGAGGTGGAAGATAAGTTCTCCAAGGAATTTCTATGTGACAATTACATGAGGAAGCAAGAAAGGAGATTGAGACACTTCATTATTCCTTCTTACACGGATGACTTTGATAGATCATTTTGTTCTCCATAGAATTTTTGATTTTTTTTTTAAAGGTAGACTCTTTTTTAATCATAATAGGAGAAAAATGAAGTCAGATTGTGAAAGTAGAAAATACATTTGGAGAAAGAAGAACAAAGGATAATGTGATTGTAAATGGGGTCATATGATAAGCAGGTGTACACTTATTACTATACTTTCTTCTCTTCATCCTACTTTTTTGCCACCTTTTGATTTGTCTATTTTTTGTCAATCTCCTATGAGTTTTCTCTTTTGATTTGTCTCTCGTTTGTAGGTTTCTAGTGGTATGAAAAGATTAGAGTGAATTTTCTTGCTTCGTCTTTTTCATTCGTCACATTTGAAAAACAAAAGATTTATCAATCTTTTAACGCCTCTTTTTCTTTATTCTATTATGCACTAAAATAAAGCATATAATTTACAAAAAAATAAAAAGAAGATAAATTTTAGGAAAAATCAGTGAAAAGTTCCTATTTGAAATTTTTTGTTGGTCAAACAGATCTACCATGTTTTTATGCATAAAAAGTACTCGTACCCCGAATGATTTCAAGCAAAAAAAGCATAAGTACTTGAATTCAGGTCTTTGTGGCAAATACAATTTTCGAACCGTATTCTTTTTTATTGATTTTCCTATTATATGATTTGTTTCATCCATTCAAACATTAGAGGGCGTAAATCGAACTTCGGCTTCTATTTATAACTCTCTTCTCTCTTTTTTTTTTTTTTTTTTTTTTTTTTTTTTCAATTTTTGCCCTTGTAGACTTACCAAGGCTTTCAAAAAGAAAAAGTCCTGTGCACATATTTTCACATATACTTTTCCTGGTTTATATAATATTAACTTCGATTTTTAATATAAAAGTTACTTTGAGTTTTAATTTGATTTTAAATATAAGATTCTAATCCACTTTTTTTTTTACAATATTTATCTATTTTGTCCTCAACTAATTCATATAATAGTTACATATGTTAATGAGTTACTATTAATATGTAATTCAAATATACATGATTAGTAAAAATATTTTAGGAAACACAATATTTATTTACTATAAATAACTAATTTAATTAACTTCTTTAATTTTCTCAAATTAGTCAACTAGACCTTGTATTAAGAACTGGAAGTAGTTCTACCTCCACCATCCCTTAATATAAGAGTTATTTTGATTTTTAATTTGGTCATAGATATAAGACCCCAATCTACTTTGTCTTTTGTATTTTTTTTTATAAGTTAGTTCTTATAATAGTTACACATGTATTCCTCCGATCCTTAATATAGAACCTATTTATTGAGTTGTGTTTTGGTTTAAATATAAAACCTATTTCTCAAATTTATTAATTTTTCCTAAATTACCTCCTATGGATACTCCCTCAATTATAATCAATATAAAGAAAGAGAGAGGATATTAAAAAAGATGTATGGTTATTTAGGAAAAACATGTCATATTTTTTATAATTAACTAATTTACCTAACTTCATTAAGTTAATCAAATTAGTTAAATAGGTTTTATATTAAGGACGAGAGGAGTATATGTTAAAGATTTTATCAGATGGTAGCTTTAGTTAATACATATGATTAACAAGATTATTTTTTAAAAAATAATACCTATTTATTACAAATAATTATTTAATTAATTTTTTAATCGATTATTGAACTAGTTAGTTTAACCTATGTCTTTTTTTTTGTGTTGAGCAAATACCGGTTGTTATGTCAAGACCCGGAGACAATGTGCCCGTTAATGTCTATTCAACTCTCTGCTCTTCATTCAACTAGCTTTTCGCTGACGAAGTCATAGGGTGGGTGCCTGCGCTCTCAACGGGGCTAGCGGTGGCCGTTCTAAGACGGCTTCAAGGTGAACATGTATTCGGCTTCAAGGTATGCCCTCCCCAGAATTGCTCGCTTTCTTCCACCTTCTTCATCTTTTATCCTCCCAGCTTTCCCTTATTCCTTCAACCTCAATTTCTTTGCTCATTCCCAAACCCCAAATGCAAATAACATTCCCGAGAGCGTAGCTTCATTCAATCGCTTGCTCCATCTGCATCCCCCACCTTCCATCCGCCAAATTAATAAGATTTTAGGATCACTTGCCAAGGCTGGACATCATCGCACTGCCATATCATTGTGTGCACAAGCTGAGTTCAGGGGATTCACACCCGATTTATTTACACTGAGCATCTTGATCAATTGTTACTGCCATTTGGGTCAGCTGTATTCTGCTTTCTCAATATTTGGGAGTATTCACAAGATGGGTCTTCAACCGAGTATTGTAACTGTCACTACGCTGATAAAAGGACTGTGCATTAGGAACCAGGTTGGAGAAGCATTGGACTTTTATGATGACCTCATGGCCAAGGGATTTCAATTAAATGAAGTTAGTTATGGAACTTTGGTTAACGGGCTGTGTAAACTTGGCAAATTAAGGTCTGCCATTAAATTGGTCGAAAAGATGGAGAGCCAGTTATTTAAGCCTAATGTAGTCATCTACACCACAATCATTGACAGTCTTTGCAAAGGTGGACATGTTGTTGAGGCCTATGAATGGTATTTAAAAGTGATTGATCAAGGAATTTTACCAGATATTGTCACTTATAACTCTCTAATCCATGGTCACTGTAGCAAGGGACAATGGCAAGAAGCAAATCGGTTTCTCCATGATATGGTTCTGAAAGGCATCAAACCTAATATTTGTACATTTAATATATTGATTAATGTGTTCTGTAAAGAACGAAAGATCATAGAAGCTGAAGTAGTGCTTGCCAGGATGATGAAATGTGGTGAGAGACCTACTGTTGTAACTTACAGTTCTTTAATGGTTGGGTATTTTTTGATGAACGATGCTAATGAGTCAAAAGAAGTATTTGATAAGATGGTCCGAATTGGATTGAAACCCGATGTGGTTAGTTTTAATGCACTGATTGATGGATTATGTAAGATCAAGATGGTCGATGAAGCTATGGCTCTGTTTAAAGAAATGCGTAGTAAAAACGTTCATCCTGATGCATGGACGTACAACTGTCTTATTGATGGCATGTGCAAATCAGGAAAAATGTCATGTGTGCGAGATCTTGTTTATGATATGCGTGATAGTGGCCATGCCCCTGGTGTAGTCACCTATAATATTTTGTTAGATGCGTTTTGTAAAGGCCAACATCTTGATGAGGGCATTGCATTATTTCAACAAATGGTTGCTCAAGGAGTCCAGCCTGATTTGCGCACATACACTATACTTATTCATGGTTTGTGTAAAGGTGGTAGACTAAATGATGCTCGAGAGATTTTTGAATATCTGTTGATCAGTGGCTTCTGCCTTGATGCCTTCGCATATAACATTATCATCATGAGCCTTTGCAGACATGGTTTAGTTGAAGAAGCTATGACTTTGGTTTCAAGAATGACAGAGAATGGCTGCCTCCCTGATTCTGTATCTTATAAAGCACTTATTGGTCGTCTTTTGGAAAAATGTAGGAATGATGAAGGAGAGAATCTTCTTCATGTGATGATGGGTAGTGGTCTTCTGAAAAAATGAAACAAGGTTAGAGACTCTTGTACAAGTGTTGATTTTGTCTTAGCCAAAGCTTGTTTCTTTTGAGTTAAATTTGTGGGATTATATGACGGCTTGATTGATGCTGAACACAACTTTGTTCCTTGATTCATTATTGTTCGTTTGTAATTTAATTTATTAACTTGATAGGCTGCTAAGGGAGGTGGAGAACCCTCTACCGAGAGAAGATGAGGTTAACTATCATGAACATGTGATTCTTTAACGCTTGAATTTCCATAGTTCGATTTTTATTTATTAGAAATATAGTAAATTGATGAACGGTGGAAGATTATTTTTTTTCCTTGCCAATTCAGCAGCAGATATGCGGTCCTTGGAAAATATAGATCAGATCATGACTGCAAAATTCATTTGGAACATTTCACGTGCATTTTAAAGGTCTATGACA